AGTCCAGGGAGTAGGGCCTTAGAGGCAGGCCAGGGCCTTCTCCCACCTTCTTTTACATCCTGAGTCCAGGGAGTAGGGCCTTAGAGGCAGGCCAGCCATCCCTGTCCATACAGGTTCAGTGAATGATTTCAGGGCTTGCTTTGAGGCCTCATTATCTCTACCTCTATCTCCACCCCACTCCACCTACTCGACCATGCAGGCCCCAACATTTAGAGGCAGGGAGAGGAAGTACAGTAATTTATGCGCCCTAGCCTATGTTGCCTGCCTCAATTCAGTTTTGCCAGAAAATCCAGCAATGGGGGGAGGGGGAGTGTTGTGATCATGTGTTAGTCAACTTTTAAATCACTGAACCTCCCCTTTCCTTTTGGCAATTACACTATCAATATTTATTTGTTATATATCCAGAGAACTCAGTGATGAAAAGGAAAAAAACAGTAAATCTCTAGCTACTTCAACTACTGAAATAGAATTAGATGTTTTTTTTTTCTACACCTGGGATGGCAAAAATGTAGAGAAGTTGTTTCCAGAAAACATTCAATTCTCTAGTTTAATATTAGTACAGTTATTCCTTCTTAGTACTTTCAGTTGGCCGATAAAGTGATATTAGATCACAGGCAATCCCAACAAAGGGTTGTTAATTAAGATATTTTGTTTATAGCCTGTTATCTCTACACAATTAAACAAATCCTAGCAAGTCGGGTTATCTTATCAGCATACAGTATAATATACAGATCTATCTGTTCCACATACTCAAATTTTATAGAAAATGTCCAGAGAATAAGTGTTAAGTAATATATAAATTTGTCATGGTAACAGACTCATCTGATGAATATTTAAAAATAGCACCTGAGTACAGCTTACTATCACAAAATGTCAGATATACAATGGGTCAAATCAAGCAGCTCAAAATATAAACGTGTACATAGTAAAAGCTATATATAAGGTCTATCAATAGGCCAGTGAACACTATCTTAAAAAAAAACAGAATTATATGGTTGAAATGTCCAGATGTTTTCTTATATTAACTAGTGTTTTAATAATTATTTTTGCAATTAGTGAACACTCGTTTGCAAAGTGGAGCTTTTTTAGCTTCTATTATCATTATCATGTTTTTGATAATAGAAAATTTAACAGTAACATAAATAAAAACGCACAATACACAACTAAAGTATTATAATCTTTCAGCTATAAAACAACAGATGAATTACCAAAAAAGGCAGTCGTTACCTGTGTGTCTCTCATGCATACCAGTAAGCTTTAATTTATAACAGGAACTATATTAAAGCTATAAAATAATAGCTAACTACACATATTCACAGCCATGCAGATAATCTAAATATTCGTTTTTTTTAAAACTCAATAATATGTTAATTACAAATCTATGAAAAAGAACAGTATGACATACAGAAACTCTTGTTTGGCTGTGCTTGTAGGAGATGTAGGAAAATCCTCCAGTCTACAGATGAAGATTGAAGAGAAAGCAGGAAAACAAAAAGGAAGCAAATAAACATTCGTGCATAAGTCAGTCACTGGCAATCATCTGGAAAGCTTTTCTAATTTCCCATTTTTTTCCTTAAAGTACCTTTTAAACTATTTTCTAATTCATTTTCCTTTTGATTGAAATTGGAAATGAAAAGCTAAAGAATAAATCCAGGAAATCTTAACATAAACAGAGTTTGACAGGTTGGGAATCAATACCTTTAATTTTTAAAATAAAACAGTTATGGGATCTTTGCCTGGGTAATAAATATGTAATTTTTTTTTAAATTCTGTCTTATAACTATTACGTTTTGCAAGTTTAGAGACCATTTGAAGCCCCTGTCTTAAAAGACAAGAGATAATGGAGATAAGAAGTCTCTTAATGTTCTGAAATGAGCATTTATAGAATAAAACACACGGGACATCTGAAGAATTTATTTTATTTTTGAATAGGTCCATGTAACCATGGTGCTTCAGGTTTAGTCACTGAAGGACTCAGGGAACACAATGTCTGTGATGACTTTCTGCAGAAGCATCATGGTGAGACGGAAGGAGTAAAAGTGCAAATTCTGGCACCTCTTATTACTGATTGTATGATTTTAAGCATTTTAGGCAAATATTTTGATCTTTCCAAATCTCAACTTATTGTTCTGTAAAGTGCAGATAAAACCACCCAGTTCACAGAACTGTTGTAAGGATTAAATAATCTATGTAAGGCTACTATGTAGGCACACTGAAAAAGTGTAATTATTATATAATAATATCCCCTCGCTGTCTTGAATGAACAGAGAAAGATCTTGTCTCTCACAACCATTGCAATTTCTGGTCTGTCTTGAAACAACTGCTTAGGAATTGTGATCTGGACTATAGGCAGTCGTTATGAAATATACTCACTTTGGTTCTAGACTCACAAGTCCAAATTACCCCAGCAAAGCTTAAACCAGAGATGCTCTCCAGGAAATTTTGAGAATACTGGGCTCTCTGAATACTGATTCTAACAAAATTCATTGCAGAAAGCTCTAGCCCATTAACAAATATTCATTTCAAGAAATGTTCCCTAGGACAGCTATCACATTATCCAGATTTTTAAAATATTGTGACTAGAGCTGTAACTAACTGATCATAATTCTTAGTCAATCTATGATTAATATTTAATTTTTATAGTGCTGAACCAAACCTCTAGTTAGTTGGGTATTTGGCATGATGGATGTTTTACAGGACTATATAGTGCAACATTAACTATTTGTAATATTAAGAATGAGCAAATTCTTAAAATTTGGCCTAAATTGTTAAAACACATTTTGTAGTTAGAACATAAAACTGCTCCACCGAAAGGAAGTGTATGAAGTGTATGAACAAAGTCAAATAATTAAATGTACTGACAACAGATAATGATCTGAATATCAGTATATATATAGTACAAAGGTTGGAGGTTCAAACCCACCCAAAGGTGCCTTGGAAGACAGGTCTGCTGATCTGTCTTTGAAAGGTCACAGCATTGAAAACCATACAGGCCAGTTCTACTCTGCACACATGGTGGGGGGGGCGGAGTCTCCATGAGTCAGGATCGACTCAACAACAACTTACGACAACAACATGGTAAACTCACTATGGAGTCCCTGGGTGGTACAAACAGGTAGCATGCCTGGCCAGAAGCACCTGGAAAGAAAGGCCTGGCCATCTACTTCTGAAAAAAAAAATCAGCCATTGAAAACCCTATGGAGCACAGTCCTACTCTGACATACATAAGGTCGCTATGAGTCAGGATTGATTCAACAGCAACTGGGTTTTTTTTTTTTTTAAACTCACTATATAAGTCCTACCTATAGTATTAGAAAGATTTCACATTTCATAGATCTTTTTGCTAAATTCTTTAAACAGTCAAATAGCAAGAGAAAGTTTTGAAACTCAGCATAAAAATGAGTAGTGATTTGTTAATACAAAATTGAGAGATGTCTATATTCTCTTCCTATAATTTTGCTTTACTTAAGTACCTGAATTGAGTTTTTGCATCTTCTATGTCAAACTGAAATTTGTACCATAATCATTTTTAACAAATTTTAGAAAGGAATAAACACATTCCTCTAAAAACATTATATTTGGTGATATCCTTAATGACAGAATCTCAGTAGTGCGAACATTATGTGTATAAACCTCAAAACTGAGCAGGTATGGATTCATCCAAAGAGTTTAAGTTTCCTATAAAACTAAAACAAGTATGAGAAAATAATAAAAATCAACACACTTACTGTATATTTGGTGTAATCCCTTCAAGCAGCACAATATTAACCCCACCAATGTGAGCAGTGGCACATGTCTCGGTCATCTTTTGATGTAAAACATCTTAAGAGTGAGAAGAAAAATAATTATTTGAGTTCTGAATAATAAGATAAATGTGTTTCGTATTAAAACTGTATTTCATTTATAATAATTCAGTAACAAAAGATAATTTTAAAGTTACAATAAACTTTGTTAAACTTATTTCAAAACTACTTTTTAAAAAAATTTCCTTGAAGCTTTTTTTATTTCTTTGCATGTATATATACACACGTTATAAGTAAAAATTGGAATAATGCTGAATATGCAGTTTAGTATGCCATTCAAGCATTAAATAGCCTAACGGCATGTAAAATCTCAGAAGTAATACTTCCTCAGGACAGAACACTTGGGAAATTCAAACCGTTTGAAAGAACAAGAAAAAAGAAATCACATAAACTAGCACTCTTGGTCCATATTAGGACCTGTTATTTTAACAGAGGATACAAAATAAATATTTTTATTATTTACAAAAGTCCAATCAAATCACACATATTATTTTTCCGTTACTTTTTCATTTAGCAATATAAACTTTTTTCCATATTAATAAATTCTGCAACATGATTTTTTTAACGGCTACATTGTAAACTATTATATGGACATTTAACCAATTCCTTAACGCTGACACTTGGCTACTTCTTTGTACAGACATCTTTTCACACAATTCTGATTATTTCCTTTCCTAGGTATGTAGACCTGGAATTGCTGAGTCAAAAGATACATGTGCTTTAAAGACTATTAATAAAAACTATTAAATTAACCTTCATGAAGGTTAAACCAATTTATAACAATTTAGAAGTGAATGAAAATGTCCCTTCTCCTCATCCTCACCAAAACTTGCCATTGTTGTTCTTAATCGTTGTTAAACCAACAGATGAAGAAATGGATAACTTTTTTTTTATTATTATTTTAACCAGTGAGGCTGAGCAAATTTTATGTCAACTTAGCCATCTGAATTTCTTATGTATTGTTTATGTCTTTTGCCTATATTTCTGAGAGTAAAGGATATGTTTAGATTTTTTAATAATTTATAATTCATCTAATTTGTTGAGAGAAACTTCTGTAATAATATGATTTTTTTTTAAATTTAAAATTAGTTTTTGAGTAAATAAATGTTCAGGGCACAAAAATAAGGGTACGTAATAAAAAATAGGTTCAAAACAACTTTTGATTAAATTTTACATATTCGGCAATCATAAAGTTAATAATAAAAACACAGTGATTTACAGTTTCCTTTTCACAGGCAACAGGAGACACTGGTATTAAAGACTTATAGTTGCAAGTGAATTCCTGTAACTTCACTTTCATACTGCTGCTCAGTTTCTAAAGTCTTCTTTGCTAACAGTTTTTAAATTAGCCTAACTCAAAGTATAAGAATTGTATCCACTGATTCTAAGAAGCACTTATTTTTTATTTTAACATCTCTGAAACTGGGATGAATAAAATAATGGTGCATCTTCAAATTGATGATGTCTTGGATTTGATGAAATGCCATAGCTTGCATGAACATATTCAAGATATATGGTACATTTTGGTTAACCTATGACATTTTATATCCACTGAAATGACTTCTTTTAATAAAGATACTAAAGTGAATACTGGATTATGAGATCTCTATGATAGTAATAAAGCAAAGCAAACATTTTACATATTTCATTATTTTGGTGAAATTTTCAGATATCAGACATCTTACTAAACCAAAAAAATAAAAATAAAGAACAAAAAACTAAATTTGTTACCATCAGATCTATTCCAACTGATAGCGACCCTACAGAGAAGAGCAGAAGTGCTCCATAGGGTTTCCAAGGCCTCTGTTTCTTGATGGAAGCAGACTGACACATCTTTCTCCCTCACACACAGAGGCTGAAGGGTTCAACTTTTCAGTTAACAGCTGAGCGCTTAACCACTATGCCACCAGGGGTCCCTGACATCTTACTACAAATCAACAACTCCTTGCCGTCGAATCGATTCCAACTCATAAATGGTTATCAAAAGAGAGTTAAAGAATAAGTGCCACAGGACATTAGGTACATTAGCTAGATCTTTATGTACCTGAAAATTTTCATTAAATATCAAAACTGCTTCATAATTTACTGATCTTCAATTATATTCAAGTCTCTTGGCACTCTACTCTGGAATCTGAAAGGCCTCATTTTCTGAAGAAAAATTGCCGAAGTAGGAATTTTGAAGACATGGCATTTTTTTTTTCCCCCAGAAAAGCAGCTCTACAGTACTAGAGTCATCATACCTTTCATTTTTTCCTTAAGGGTGAAACTGCCATGGATTCTCTTCAGTTCCGATTCCATTGTTAGCCCACCAATGTCTGCCTCCAGGTGTGTGCGATTCACCATGCCAATGCCAAACACTATCAGAGTAACATGCTGAGGTTCAGAAGTAACCAAGCTACGTTTCCTCTGTGGCTTAGTCAAACTGTTGTTGTCTTGCTCATTCTCAAAAACGACTTTACATGTTGGTTCTACAGGACTCCGAACACCTGTGCATTAAAAATATACAAGTTTAGATATGGAAACTGTAAAAGAGAAGAACATTCTAAAAATCATTTTACTTTTCTTTCCTACATATTCCCAACCATCTCACTTCCTCTTCTTCCTCACCAAAATGATTTTAAAATGTTTTCAACATTCTCCCGAGGTTCTACTGAGAGTAAATAGTAGAGTCAGATATTTGAAATCAAGTCTATCTGAATTCTTGAAGTGCTATGGAAGGGTATGGGAGGATGGGAAATGGAGGGGCAGAACATCTGAATGGTATTACTATTTTCTCCACTTGGTGATTGCCAATTTTTGTGCTTTTTAATTATCCACTTACAACAGTAGGAAAACATGATCAACAGCCTGCTAACTTTTAAAATTATTATTGTTATTCTAAACAGAAAATTTTAAAACATGGAAATGTTTTAAATGTTACCTGCTGGCCCAAATGTTTCTGAAGATTTTTCCAATATTCCTGTTGGGTCAGAGATAAGTGAGTAGAAGTTAAGCAACTTATACATGTTCTGCCAGCACTCGGCTGAAGGCTCACTTTGCTCTGACACAGTAATTGAATCTGAGTCATCCATATGGATAGTCATGTGATCCACCACATCCTTTGAGCCTTTCCTAGACACTTTTGAAGTTCTTCTTTCAGATCTTCCTAATGAATTTTTGTTTCGTGATTCCTTTTTGTTATTCTCATTGTTGGTCCTTTTGTTCTTTGCATTATTTACTCTACTGCCACCATTCAGACTTCCTCTAGAACTGCGACTGAAGTCAGATGAGCGAAAATCACGGTGTTTTCTAGTTTTGAACGTAGGTGTTGGGGAAGCTGATCCAGCTGTATATCTGCTGAGTTTAATATCAGTCTGAGTCGCTTTGATGTCATCTATCATTGTACTAAACTGATGAATAAGACGAACCAAAGCCATATCTACATGCTGGCTTATTGACTGACAGGAAATAGTAAAGTTGCAGTGGAAGGTACTGTAATAACGCTTGTTGAGATCATGAAAAGAAAGAGCGCTGGTAGAGTTCTGAGGGGTGCACACTGACTTTTCCATTACAACAGCACTGATGCTAAAGGTTTCCAACATTAATGCTGGTTTGAACTCAAGTGGAGGAAGATTTACATGGCCCTGCCTAATAATACAAAAAGAAAAGAAGGTTTTACTTTTTTCCAGAAGTGCACGATCTTTATTAATTCATAAGCAAAATAATCCCCAAGCTGAAATAACGTTACAATCCATTTAAATAATTTCAAGTTAAGAGATCAAGTAGAATACGCTTTTTTATTAGGACAGCCTTTTTTTAAGCTGGAAGCTGGCCCTTAAGTCTTCCTTCTTGATCTTACCCTGGAACTGACTAACCTAGCTTTCAAATCAGTCTTCTTACGTTAAGAAATTATTTCAGTGAAGTGATAAAACTATTTTTCTTGCCATCCCTATGGTACACCCCCCCTATGGTAATACGACAGAGGTCATAATACTACCTAATATTTGTAGAGTGCTTTAATTTCTATCATATAACCCTTTGAGTATTCAAGGCAAGCAAGATGGCTTAGCAAAGTTAATTGACTTAACTAAGAGCAGTGTTTAACAAGCTCATTGGTGAGAAAGAATTAGAAGGTACTTTAAAGAAAGTCATCTAGGTCAACCCTTAAACTGATAAATTCCTTCTACAACATATCTGTCAAGTGGCTATTTAATTGATGCTTGAACATTTTCAAACCTGAATTTTCTTGAATTACGAGCCCTGTGCTCTTCTTACAGAGTCCTTATTGATACTAAACTTAAGCAACCTCCCTTAACTATCCCCTCCCTCCTTTACAAGCCACATATTTAATTTCTTCATATTTTATATAACTTTATTTTCTATAAGAAATGAAAACCTCATGGCATACTTTGCTATGTTGGAAGTAATAAAGAAAGCAATTAAAATAAATATGAGATACATAGTCAAAAAAACTTAAAGGCATATATACAAAATTATTTCTCAGATTTTGGTAAATCTTCCTGTTTATTAAAGATTTTCATGGTAAGAATACTATAGTCAATTTTTATATAAAAACAAAAATGTCTCAGCTTTCCATAAATCAATGAACAATAATAATAACAGTAAGTCTCAAGCACCAAAACTTTAAAAAAGCATTTTTTCCTCTCTTTCCATGTATAATATGAATGTACAGCCATATAAGTAAAATTAAATGCTGGCATTTTTTTCTATCAAAGAAATCAGAAGCTGCCTGATGTTTTCAATTTAACTTAAATAATTTATAATTACAGAACAGTAATTCCTAAATGAAAATTAGTAGCTATTATTTACTAAAAAAAAAAACCACACATTGTAGCGTAATTCATGAAAATGCATAAATTCACAGGAAGCCTACAATCAATGGTAAGCATACAGTCAGAGAAAAAAAAAAACTAGATTTTTAGGATTAGAACAGATAAAAGAGAGAAGACTCAAAAAAGATTGAAACAGCCTTTAAGCAAAAATAAGAATCTAAAACATGTAAGGGAGGTAAGGAAGTCTTAAAGAGAGGCAATTTAGGAAAAGGAAAAAAAAAAATCTGCTACATGATGAAGCAGCCATTTAGGGCAACAGTAGCCAGGCAGGTGAGGAGCTGACATAGGCACTCTAGAGCCAAAAGTTAAAATTTAAATTAAAAAAAATGTTTTAAGTCTATCATATGTGCAATTATTTTGATTGAAGATAACAAAGAGGTGAGGAAACTAGTATTTATGAGAAGTTACATGTCAGACCCTATGCAAAATGATTTAATAACTGTCCTGGCTTTACAGTCTAGTTGAAAAGTCATGCATGTTTATACAATAATTAACAGAATGAACAATATGCTACCGAAAAAAAAAAAAAAAAGCCACAAAAGATTAAAATTAATGCCCAAGAAAAATATGGTGTGGCAAAGATCTCTAAATAAAAGGGTTTAAGATGGAATTACGGGATATTTGAGAAATGAAAGCTAAGCATGAGTTAGAAGTAAGAATGTGGAACACTCAGAGCTGCTGTGATATCAGTGGAAAAATTAAAAGGAATGTCAAGATCAGCAACACTAAATTCAGTAAATTCAGGAAGTCACTCAAAAAAGTTATCCAGGAACATAAAAAGGGAAATGTAAACAGATGAAGGTCTAGCTTGTGGCATTATTACATGGCATTTAGTAGGCCAATAAGCAGGCCGTAACTATAATCTAATTACACATACACACACTTATATATAAATATATAATACATATAATTACATATTTGAAGATACATATATTGTCTGTTTGTATGTATGTATATGTAAGTACATGTAGAGAGATAAAGAAAGTGCAAACAGAAATAAAAGTTTAGCTCAGATCTTTCAGCTGTAAATAGGGAGTGAATACAGCTATTAAATGTTTTGGTGTCTGGATTTGCATGGTTCAAATATGAGTGAACTGCAGTTACTAGGGTTTAGTTAAACATTAGTCCCCCAACAACACGGGTCAAATTTCAATTACAAGGTAAATAAAATTTACTGTAACTGCATAAGGTACAAATTTCTCTGCTAATTCTTCAGTCCACAAATCACTCTGTAAATAACAGATGCACAGTGGCCAATTATGTCACTTCTTTCAAAGTCTGTTGGTGATTGGTCAATGTGCATTTGCTATTCAGTTCATGCACAGACAGCAAAGCACGTAGTTGTGCTGCTTCTTTGTCTCCCAGTGATAAAACCACGTGGCAACCTACAAAAACAGATAATGAAAAAAGGGAACTGCCCAACATATATTAAACCATAGCAAAAAAACAAAAAGTGAAAATGCTGGAAGTGAAATTCAATTGAACGTAAATGGAGTCAGAAGAAAAAGCTGATCATGGAAATGTTGACACTTCTGCTGTGTGAGAGACTCTGTATATGAAGCAAGGAGAACTCAGTGAAGGCAAGCTTATTAATATAAATGAAGAAAGTGGTTGTGATAAAAAGGTTAAAGATATCTCAAAAGAAGTGATGCTGGCAACAAATCTCATAGTAAAGGAACTCTCAACACTATTTCATGACATAGAAAGCACAAATGATAAAATGCTGGAAGCCAATCCATACTTAGAAAGGAATACGACATTTCAGTAAGTGGTTTACAAAGAAGAAAACACTATAATTCTCAATGTTTCTAATGTTTTAAATTATACAGTACTAAAAAAAAAAAAATTAGTTTAACCATCTTTTTCATTTCACTAAATATTTACAATCAACAGTAAGGACGTTTTTAATGTTTTGACAATATTTGTAAAGGTCATGGAACAATCATAATTCTTCCATTGATTATTAAGATCACTCTGCATGGTTTCAGCTTGCACAGCCATTTTTTATAATCCTACACTTTGTAAAAAGTAACGACTACCTGTATGTAATAGAAAAGACAATGCAATTTCCATGTTCCTGTCTCATTAGAAAATCCTCAGGTATTTAGAAGTTAAAAAAAAAAAAAAAATAAGAAAGCTATCTTATATGAATAATTATCATGAATTTTTATAAAAACTAATTTTGTGGAATCATTTAAAATTTTAAACACAACATTTCAAGTGAAAAATACATTTAACTATATATTGAACACAAGCTCATTCTTCTTTTAACTTGCCACTTTGTAAAAGCAAAAGTAGGATGAAACTAAGAATGTTGCAGAATTCTCCTGTCACAGTGCTACGTACGTCCACATCCAACTATTCCAACATACTTAAGGAAGACCCAAAGTGAAATTCCAATTTCCCAAAAGATTAGTTAAATCCTGTTATTGGGCATATTATTTCCCATGCAGGCAATAAAGAAACTAAAGACCTATCCATGGCAAGAAAGAATGGCAGTAAAAGATTGTCCTTAACTTTTATCTTTCTACATTTAGCATTCCTGAGTATTTGTTCCTGATGGCTAAACTCTCAATATGACTGCTATCCTAATACAAACCTCAAAAAAGGAGGCTAGAATAAATTCTAAATAAAAATGTAAAATATTACAATCCATAAATCCCTAAAAATTCAACTACTATAACAGTAAAGTAAGTAAATGCTGAGTGCATATATCAATACATATACATGTATACAACATATATATATACCTTGGATGACCCTCATGTGCTAACATGGTATAAAAATAGCCTAAAATAGGCCTTGTAATCCCTTGATAAAATCATCAGGTTATGAATAAGAAAATGTGGCTACTACTTTTATTAAATGGAACTGCCTTCTCATTAAGATATTAAAGTTATCTTTTCATTAGGATTAGAAGAAAGCAACGTTAAAAAACAAAAGAGTTATCATAACCTTTGTATAAAATTTTGCATAAAAGCATAAAAGATACCTTCTTGCTCTTTTGCCTTTTCTCTCTTTGGCTGTGTCTGAATCCACAATATCTGCTCTGAGGCAGTCCAAAGTCCCTGAAAATGAAAGGTGTTCCCCAAAGTACATTCGGTAGCAGAGTGGCATTGCATCCTGTGACTGGATCCCTGTATGACTCAGAAGAGGTTTGAAAACAACCTAAAAGACATAAAACGTTCATATTAGCTCAATTTATAATTCATCATTTACTATGGCTTTTTTCTTACTGTACCTTAGTACATATTATTACTATATTGTGAAGCAAAAAAAGGTCTCATATAGTAAATATGCTATAATCTTACTTAAGGAGCCCTGGTGGTGCAGTGGTTAAGAGCTTGGCTGCTAACTAAAAGGTCAGCAGTTTGAATCCACCAGCTGCTCCCTGGAAACCCGATGGGGCAGTTCTACTCTTACCTATAGGGTCGCTATGAGTCGGAATTGACTCAATGGCAACGGGTTTGTTTGTTTAATCTTACTTAAAATTTCAACAGTATTTGAGAAAATCTATTATGGGTCACTCATCTTAAAATTAATCATAAGGACAAAGATTCCTTGACCCTGCTTGAGTGAACAAACAAGGAAAATGAAATTATCAAATCATTCTACTTTTTGCTTTTAAAAAGGTATAAATACCATGTTTCCATAAAAATATAGCATATTAGGTTCACACAGTGGGTCATTAACTTCCTGTTTTAATATAAAAATTTTTCAAACGTTTTATTATAAATATCTGGCCTACTTTCAAATAGTATCACTTGCTTATAACAGTCTTTTAACATTTACTTTCTGACAATTTCCTTTACATTTTTGGAACATATATGCTTATGGAATACATTACTCTAGTTAACTAAATCTCTAATTAACTGAATTTCCCAGTCACTAAGAGTTAACCAAACAGAAGCAGTTACATGTGTTGAACAGTGGATCACGATTATCACTTTGGCTACTCATTCTCTGCTGCATGGTTCCTCTTCTTCCCCACATATCCCAAATACAGATGTTATCCAATGTTTTCCTCAGTCCCCCTCAAACTCTTCCACTATACATTCTGCCTTAGTAATCCTTTCTTGAGGCTCAAAAAATCCTATATAAATGGACACACACCATTTGTGTAATGAGATCTACGACCATACTTTCAATTGTCTCTAGGTCATCTCCATTTGCTTGTGCTTGGGAAAAAGGGTCACTCTTGTGAATGTCTGAAGGCCTAAAATGAGACAATTCAAACGATTTTACTCTAGACTAGAATCTTAGGGAGGCGTTTTCTCTCCCTTGCGTTTGCTTGGCACACATATCACTGGGTTTACTCTTTCTGAGATTTGCTCTTTCATCCCAGTGGAAAAACTCTCCTTCAAGGCTCAAACCATCTTCCATCTTTCTTCAACTCTGTTATCTATCTATATGTCCTGGTTAATCATTCATACCTACTGGGGACTGGGGTTCCTGACTCACTCTCTTCTTTTTCTGTTCTATCCCAATTTATCATCTTGAATGGCTTCACTGGCCATTCAGATGACCCAATCAACATTTCAGACCCAAAGTTATGTGACTTCCTTGTTTCCCACAATCTTGGTTTAAACTCCATTTCAGCATCTTCTTAGACTCTATATTCCATCTTTTCACCTCATTTTCCTTACTACATCTGTTTTGGCTCAATTCTCTTCTATTCCTACGGCTGAGCTGCTAAGGACAATGAGAAGAAATGACATACTTGCATTTGCTGGTATTTCAACACTAATTTAAACCCTTAACCGGAGCCTCAGCAGTATTTGGCAATCCTTTTGAGGGCTTGTGGTAGGCTCTTTCCCATTTATGCAAACATTTAAACATTTCTAAATCACCTTACACATTTTGTTATTTAATATTCATATTCCAGGTAAATTTTAGAGTCATATATATAAAACGGAGCCCTGGTAAAACAGTGGTTAAGAGCTTGGCTGCTAACCAAAAGGTCAACAGCTCGAATCCACCAGCTGCTCCTTGGAAACCCTATGGGGCAGTTCTACTCTGTCCTATAGGGTCGCTATGAGTCAGAATCTACTCAACAGCAATGGGTTTGGTTTGGTTTATATAAAAAATAATATACTTATCTCTAAAAACGTGCATTAAATGCTAATAAACACAATAAACTTACTACTATATAGACAATTTATTTTCTTTTCCCATTCTTTTTTTAAAAAGTCCCTAAAAACTACTCCAACGTATTGGAGAAGTAAATCTCAGGAAACTTCAAAAGTGCTTGATGCATTTTTAACAGATGAACTGCCTCCTACTGCCAGAGAAAATTGCAAACTTACCTCTATAGTTATGAACTGTCTTTACTTTTTGTCTAAAGCATCTCTCTATAGTTAACTCTAAATTCTAAAACTTCTCATTTAAGAATCTTGCTCTTTCAGTTAGTCATTCTTTCCTATTTTTCTGATTGCGACCTTTCTAATTCCTCATAAGTATGTAAATATGCTCAAACCTTTCACATCCTGAAAAAAGTAACACCAATACCCACCTTTCACTCTATCAAGTCCCACTCTCCCACTTGCCTTCTGATCACTCAAACAAAAAAATAAGCTTCAAAGATTCCCCCCTCACTTTCTACATTTCTCCTTGATCTTATCAGAGCCACAACCACCTAAGCTTAGAGCTTCATTACCACTTGTTTGAATAATTTCAATAAACCATCTCTTCTTTCCACCGCTAGTTTCTCTGCTTCAATTCATTCAACCCATTGCTACCCACATAATAATTCTACACATAGATTTCTAGTCTTGATTCTTCTGCTCTAAAATCTTCAACTCTTCCCCATTGCTCACTCAACAAAGTCTTAACATAGCTTAAAGACTACGTGATAAGAGTGGATTTATCTTTCTAGTCCTGTTTGCTAATCTGTATCTCCAAATAAGAAAAATGTTACTATATATGACAAGAAACTAAATGTCACCTTCCTATAATGAGCATCTACACATGCTTAATTTGTATTTATAATTAACCTATCTATTGTTTTAAATGTTATATGTAACATTTTTAAATGCTGGTTTGCATGCACATTAACCTATGCACTTTTTAAAGGCTCCCCTTTCTTTGCATGAAGGTTTTAGGCAGATAGGCAAAGAATCAACATCTTCACTAGAATTCCAAGATGCATACTGCTTAAAGGTTCCATTGCTAAGTACTGCTACTGAGGTATTAATACAATTAGGAAAAAGGGGGTGGCTTACCTGTGCATCAGCAAGCTGAACAGCAGGAAACCCCTGGTTTGCTTCCTCTACACCTGCCACATCATCCTGACTAGTGCTATGCTGAGAATGTGTCCCATCCAAAGTATTCTGGTCACTAGACAAGACAGTGTTGAAATCTGAGGCTGAGGGTATTGTAGGAAGATTGGGTGCAACACCTACCAGAGTAAATTTTCAAGAATAAAATGTAAATTATTGGGCAATAGAAACAACTTAAAATAGCACAGCGAGATAAATTTGTGAAGCCTGTACTGTAGTACCATAACCAGACCACTTATATTGAATAGAAAAAAAATTTAGTACTTGTACACTATTTTCAGACACGATATATTTAATGAAAATGAAAGTAAACTAAATTTTCAGAAAACACCAGCCATCCTCATACATCAAGTCTATGTTAGAGTCAGTCAGTCCACATGTAGAATTATACGGCCAGGAGATCTTTGAGAAGCATTTTACGTTCCATCAGCTTCACACTGGGGAACAGAGTTCAGACAGTCGCAGGGCAAAAGCCATAGGTGTCACAGAACCACACATACAAATTTCTTCCCAACTATGTTTTCCTGAGACAGAACAAAAATGAAATGTCTCTATTCCTTTCCTCTGTACTCCCTTTACCTTTTACCTCTCTAGGCAAAGGGCCCATGATAAAGAGAAGCTGTTCCTTTCTGGTTCTCTTGAAATTTAAACTCTATATACTCTCCGAGTAGTGAGACTAGTAACAGGAAGGTAAAGAGAGTTAGTGGAAACATCATCTTTCTATCTTCTATAGATTCTATGCAACAAAAATAAACTGATAAAATTTTTTAATAGAAAAAGAAGAGAAAGAAAGGGTGTGTCCACTAAAAGTCTGGGGAGAACCACTGTTACTACTTTGGTGAACTCCCTGTCAGTCTCCTTTCCACTTACACATATTCTTTTAAAATGAATAAAAGGCCCTCATTTGTCTCTCATCTTGAGGGCAGGAATCTTATTTTCTCTTAGTACCTCCTAGAATTAATTATTTGTTAAGTAACTATAAAGAAAGCAAAAATGCTAGTTATCATGGGCCAGAGGAATTTGGATAATTTGAAAGTATTTTTGTATTGTAGGTTCATGATGTGGGAATTACACTTTACATTTATTCATTTATCTCCTTTTGGTGTTTTAAAAATTAAACCGATCACATTAAGTGGAGGCTTGCAACTCTTTAATTCATATACGATCTCATATTTGCCATATTTATCTTTCCTTAGGAACACGGGGAAACCCTTATGGCATAGTAGTTAACAGCTATGGCTGCTAACCAAAAGGTCAGCAGTTTGAACCTACCATGTGCCCCTTGGAAACCCTGTGGGGCAGTTCTACTCTGTCCTATAGGGTCGCTGTGAGTCAGAATTGACTCAACAGCAATGAGTAGGAACACGGAGTGACTGTTTTCTACTCTCTTAAATGAAATATTATCAGAAGTATTTCATAAATTGGTCCATCTCAACTACACAGTAACTAAAACGTTTAAAAAAACATTTTAGGTTTTTAACCATCTTCTGAAAAATAGGATTTTTCCAGAACCATACACGTGCCCCTTATACAGCTCACAGCTGCTAACCAAAAGATTAGCAGTTTGAATCCACCAGCTGCTCCTTGGAAACCTATGCGGCAGGGCTACTCTGTCTTACAGAGTCACTATGAGTCAAAATCGACTCGACGGCAAATAGGGTTTGGTCTTATACAGTTAAACAAAATAATGTGTTAACTCAATACCTGTTGGAAGACTATTGTGGCCCGACTTTGTAACAGGAGATTCTTGTACCACACTTCCTCGATTACCCACAGCATTTGACATCCAATTATAGAAGCTCACAGATGATGGTTCAGATAGCAAAGGATGTTCAGATAACATATCAGTGGCCACTGTATTTCCTGAAAGTAAAGGTTTATTGAGCATGTACTAAGGAGCAGAAAACAATTATTTTTGAAAAGTCAGGTTAAAGTGCTTGTCTAGATATTTTCAAAATCTCACTGCATGATGTTGATATTTGGATATTAAAGGCATTAATAAAGATAATTTCAGTGTTGGCTGGTCTAGACATCTCACACCACACATTGGTTGACAGTAATGCCAATGTTGCCATTTAAAAATGCACACTAAAGGTATGAAGACACTGGAATGTTACAAACACAATAACAACTACCCAAAATATTTTCTCACAGATAACGTGTAATATGAAAGATTAGTTGTACAACCAAACTATAGTATCTAGATAAAAGTTATTATTGTCAAATCTAGAGGATGTACCTGTTCTCGTTAGAGAGCTACTTTTCACAGCTGTACTACTTCTCTGGGGAGTCCCTTCCAAGAGATTGTGTAAGCTTGGGAAGCTTCCAGTCAGGTAGCTGAGTAGACTCTCCTTCCTTGGACTCTCCTTTAGTGGCATCCCCGAACGTCCAACATGCACCGGAGAATCTGTGGCAGTGTCACCACTGGTATAGCTCAGAGAATGATATGGGTGAATGCCCTACGGAAGGAACAACATGGAGCTCTTTCTCATGCATACAATAACCACTGCTAATACTACAACTACTGTTACTGTTGCTATTACTGCCCCTATTCTGCATATTAATACCAACATCAATCACATCGAGGACTGTGGTGCATCTCAAACGCATATGAAAACGTTTTATACTGCTATACCAAAAACAAAACAAACAAACCTGTTCCCATCGACTCAATTCTGACTCATAGCAACCCTATAGGGCAGAGTAGAACTGCTCCATAGGATTTTCAAGGAGTGGCTTGGTGGATTCGAACTGCTCAAAGGGCAGCTTTTATTATCATTATTGTACTGAAGCACATTCTCTTATTTTAACCATGGATCATTAACTGCCTTCTAAACCTGAAGGAGGATTCTGGTGGCAAAATATACAGACGGCAGCACAGCATATAAAACAGATGGCAGGAAAAGAAGCACTCATTAACACCAAAAGAATAATACACAGAGCATCAGGACCTCAGAAATTCATGAATAGGGTGTCTGTGGAGGCTCTATAGAACATCCCTGTAAGCAAAGAAAAAAAGGAGCCTGAAATGACTCTTCATGTCACTGCTTATTTACTAAACCAGCAAACTGAGACCCAGACATAATCCCCCTTATGAAAAATACTCCCTCAAGAAACTTACTGAACTGTATTTACATATGTACCTAAAACGATCATATCATCAAAAGTCAGTTCTGGGTGCTACAAGAAACTAGAAAAAGGAAAGCTTCAGCAACCTTCCTTGGAGTTTCTTATTGAGGGTCAGCAGAGACATCTACCTAGAAGGAAACCAGAGGCTCTCTGATAAGAGCAGGAAATGCAGGGACAAAGGCTAACATTGCTATGACTTATGAAGTCAGCTCTACCTGAAAAGCAGAAAGGTACATACCTTTCTTCATGCTCTACCAGTCATCCTCACCTAGGTGGGAAAAGGTGGAAGACGGGTGATGTAGGAGGGAAAAGAGTACTTATTACCTATCAAATACTTGCTAAGCATATTTCATATATTATTTAACCCTTAATAAGTTCACAAGCTAAGTATAATTATTTCTGCCTTACAGAAGAGGAAAGTCCTCATATATCTACCAAGGAAAAAGGCAGATTTCTAACCCATACACTTGACTTCTACCCCCAAATTCTAGACACTATACTACCTTTCCTACTACCCAGTAGTAAATCTGTGTGTTAAGAATCGACTCTGGAAAGTTCTAAAACGCCAAAAAGAATTTCCAGTAACTCTTTGAAGAAAAACAAAAAAAGCAAAAATTACAGAATTGTGACATCTAAGATTAGAATTTCAGATCAGTTTAAAACATAGTACAAAAAAAAAGATTACACAGTTAGAAAGATCTTGAAAAGCAGAAGTCTGAAACCAAGCATTTGGAGCTTCAGTTCTCTGGAGAACTTTTACAAGTCATAAACAAAAGACTGTTCAAAAACAAAATTTCAGAAAAAGAACAGCGTTAACAGTAAAACACCTAAATGTGATCAGAGAGTATTGTAAAAAGCCACCAACCTGGAAAAAAGCTGAGGCCAACTGATGAGAATTTAAAGTGTTCTAGCCTTCTAACAATACTGTGGAAACTGAGTAAACCTAGCAGTCCAAACTTTTAAATAATGTGTATCAAACCATCATCAAATGTTTTAATTAAAACAGCAATACTTGCACAGAATAAAAGCTTTTAAACAAGTCTCCCCGGAGCTTCATTCTTCTGGATCCCCTTCCCAGAGGCTCTCTTAACTGTTTCTCACCTAGCCTTCTATAAACTGTATATGACTATGTAAGCACACGGAATCCCTGTATGGTAAAAATGGTTAATGTGCTCAGCTGGTAAGCGAAAAGTTGGAAGTTCAAGTCACCCAGAGGCACCTCGAAGAAAAGGCCTGGCCATCAACTTTTGAAAAATCAGTCACTGAAAACCCTATGGAGCACAGTTCTACTCTGACACACGTAGGATTGCCACGAGTCAATCTGGTAGCAATTTTTTTTTACATATATAAGCCCATACACATTATCATGCTATACTTCATTTGTATCTTAATCAATGTATTTTAGTAATCATTCCATATCCACTTACAGATCTACTAATCTTTCTCAAGTCTTCCTAGTATGCTTCTGTATTGGTATACACTAAACTGTTAACTGATTTTCTAATGGTTAGCCATTTACATTGTTTCTATTATTTTCCTATTGCAAATAACGTGCAAACATCTGAGTATCTATCACTATTTCTGTAGAATGAATTCCTGGACATGGAAATGTTGGATCAAAAATCATAACATTTTAAATACTGATACATATTACCAAATTGTTCTTCAAAAAGGTTACACCAGACTTCCGGGCAACATGGCATTATAGGCAGAAGCACCACACCGTACCTCCACAGCAAAGATCTGAAAAACTCAGCCAAACAAAGAAAACGGCAATCCTGAAACACTAAGCATCAAATGAAGCGATAAAGAACTCAGCCAAGCACAGAATGGGAAAAGAAACTGACAGAGAACACAAAGAGAGGACACATACATGCAGAGGTTCCCTATCAGCTGACACAGCCTGGATCCACCATCTTGGACTCCTATCAGAGACCAGCAAACAAGGGGTAGGGTACAAGAAAGCAGCTTCACGGAGCTTCCAGCAGGAGACAGAACAACTGGTAACTAGCGACATAAGCTTCCCCAACCCCCACCCTTCTTCACCCCCACTTGGCCTTCTCTGCTTCCTACAGCCACAGTCTCTTTGCCGGGAAGCACCAGCTTCACCCTGGTGTCGCTTGGATTCCACCCGTCCGCACTGGCTGGATCCTTAAGTGCCATTTGTTGGCTGATGGTGTTGCTTTTTTCTGCTCTTTATATTTCTTCCTTACCTCTCACCACTTTCTCTCAAATACCTGGCTCCGTGCACCATCTTTGCTTCTTCCTGAAAGGCTGTGAAATGCTGCTCGAATGTGAGATAGCTTCCCGGCCCATGCTGACACGCTGGTGGGATCCCAGAGCTTTTTTTGTTTCTTTTGAATTCTTTGTTTTCTTTTTCTTTTCTCCAACTGGGAGCCCATTCTAGCCAAGCAGTACTATGCGGCTTGGGACCTGCCCCCTCAGTTTGCACAGACATGCAGAGGGATCCCTGGGGACATTTCTTTTTTCTTGTTTTTTGAGCTTTTTTTTTTCTTCTGTTTTTTTGGGGGGTTTTCTTGCTCTTTTTTTTTTTACCGTTTGTTTCGTTTTCTTTTCCCTCTTTTTCCCTTTCTTCATTACTCAGTTTCTCATCTCTCTACACTTTCCTGCTCTTCCTGTCAACTAAATACCTGGTGCTGAGTGGCACCTCCATGGCTTCTAGCCAGGCTGTACTTCACGGCCTGGAGGGAACTTACCCAGACCTTGGAGCCACACCAATGGGATCCCTGGAAGCTTTTCTTTTTTCTTTCTAATAATTGTTTATTCATTTTTTTCTTTTCTTTTTTCTTCTTCTTCTCCTTTTTGTTTTTCTCCATTTCATACTCTCTCATATCTCCACACCAACGGCAAGCTCCCCTAGCACTCTTATTTCTTTGCTTCCATCCTTTCGACTCCTGTTCCTCTCTCCTCTCTCTCCAATACCCATCTTAGGTCCACACATCACAATCTTCCTCCTCCATCCTGCCTACCTGCACCGTGTGCTGAACATCACACCACCAAGTAGCCCAGGCATGACCTACTGTAACCTGCACTGCACAGATTACCGGCCTGCCCTGGTGGTCGGAGTAAGTGCCGCAAACAATCCATCCCAGAAACTTTTATTCAGCTAGACCTGCCCTGCTGTACCATTTCTCAGCAACTGACCCTGCGAATTGGAGAAGGAGGTGAAAAGTATTGTGCCCACAGATGAGCAAACAACAAAGAACACACAGCCCGCCTGCTCAGACGCAGCCAAATAAAACAAAAAAACAGGATGAAACAAACAAATCTACAATAAATAAACAAGAAAAATACCTACCAAAGACAGCAGACAATATCAAAACATTTACAAAAACAAGACAGGATGGTTCCGGTAGGCGTCCAAAATAAAACACCAGATGACTTTCCAGTAGAAGAAAAGACACTAGAACTACCTGATACGGGGTTTAAGTCTCTAATATTCAAAGCTATCCAAGAGTTGAAGCAAAAAGCAGACAAAAATGAGGATAAAATAGATAAATTCATGGAAAAGGTAGACAAATTAATGGAAAATACAGACAAAAAATGGAAGAATTCAGGAAAATAATGCAGGAACAAAACACTAAAATGAATTCACAATTAGAAATCATACAAAAACAACAGTTAGAAATCCAAAAGACAAACAACAAGATTTCAGAAATGGATACTGTCGTAGAAGGGCTGAGGAGCAGGTTTGTAATGGTGGAAGACAGGATCAGCGAAACTGAAGACAAACACTTGGATACAACCCTGTTTGAGGAAAAATCAGACAAAAGAATGAAGAAAAATGAATAGACTCTGAGATTATGTGGGATACAATAAGAAGCAAAAATGTGTGCATGATCGGACTTCCAGAACAAGGGGAGAAAACAGTAAACACAAAGAGGATCACTGAAGAACTGCTGACATAAAACATCCTCAATATTATGAAAGATGAAAAGCTGGCCATCCAAGAAGCTCAACGAACCCCATATAGGATAGATCCCAAAAGAAAATCACCAAGACATATCACAATCACACTCGCTAAAACCAAAGACAAACAAAGAATCCTGAGAGCAGCTCGAGAAAAACAAAAAGTCACATACAGAGTAGAAACAATAAGACTAAGCTCAGATTATTCGGCAGAAACCATGCAGGCAAGAAGGCAATTGGATGACATATATAAAACCCTGAAACAAAAAATTGCCAGCGAAGAATAATATATCCTGCAAAACTCTTGTTAAATTTGATGGTGATATTAGGACATTTCCAGATAAACAGAAAATAAGGGAATATGTAAACACCAAACCAAACTTACAAGAATTATTAAACG